AAAGCAAATATTCTAGTGTGTAAAGGTAAAAATGCTCTGTTTTCTCTGTTGCGCTAATACTTCTCTCAGGCATGCAGGTGTTCCGCACCATTATATAAATAACTTTACAGCTTTTTTGCATGGTTTCATTCGTTAATGTCCTATTATTAATTGCTGATCAAATCATGCTTCAATATTTCCATTTTAATTGTGACCACATCGCACCTTAATACTAGTTTTCCTTTTGTGGATTTACTTGTAAAGCTTAACCCGATTATGACTTTTTAACGCACAATAGTTAAAGCTTCACTGTAATGAAGTGAACAGTTCAGGGATTTGTTTTTAAGTATAATTGAACAATGCTTTTCATTCACTTGCCAGAGGGTCAGAGAGCATGAGGTAGGCTTGGCATCAAAGCAAAACTCTTAGTAGGGATATGAGGTTTGAATTATTAACTGTAAATTGGCAGAAAAATTAGCAATCAGTTGGCACCCTCTGAGAACATTGTTATTGTTTGAAAAAATGTTTTGTCCTTTTAATTCTTTGAGAATTATTGTAAAAACTGCTATTCAAATTCCCCTTGGAAATGTGACTGAGAAAAACACCACCCTCCCACCATGCATCAGTTCCTGAATCCATTAATAAAAGTGAAATGAAGATGAAGTGCTGCAAGAGAGCCTGGTTAGAATGGAACTATTTTTCTGATGTGGAAAACATGCTGATCAGTGGATACAGTAACATATGGCACAATTTCTCACACCAACATCAACAACAGTCAAACAAGAGTTAGTCATGGGAAAGGGAAGAAGCTGTTAGTCAGCATGCCAAATGAAAAGCTTGATTAACTTACGCACTGGTCCGTGATTACTGGGAATGCCTGTGGGCAGAGCAAAGAAAGAACTTTTCATTCAAGCAGCAGCTTATTTAATTTCACACTTGTAACTCCTGCACGTCATGAAATTGCATTTGATGCATTCAGATGGATATGTTTGCACTGAAAAAGCCCATCAACACAACACTTATCCATTCGGTGTCTGCTATGTTCACTGATTAGCAGCAACTACGGGTTTGCGGAAACCTGACCATTGCTTGGTCCCATACCCGCCTGCTGCTGATGATAATAACAGGTATGTCAATGACAAAATGTTAATAGAATCCAAACTGTTGATATGAAAGAAAAAAAAAATCATATTTCAAAAGAAAGTTGCTAATTTCACCTGACATTGTCTGTTTACTGTGTTTATCTGTTTTCCCCACCGACGTGCCTATAATGAATGAATTTAAGAAAAAAACATTCATTCATTTCTAAATCCACTTTAGAAATAGAAGGCTTTAGTAAGTACTGCCGGGTCTATTTCGAACATGTAGAAAGGAGAGTTAAAATCATTGTTCACATAAGAATAACAGGGAATATGTTTATCCATAAATGTTAAAACCATGATGCTTAGAGAACAGTTTAACAAGAACCTGGCTTTAAATCCACACAAACAAACAAACAAACAAACAAACAAAAAATGAATATATAATCTTTGTCTAAGACCGTCCTGTGAGCTGGAACTGACTTTGGCAGCCTGGCAGTCCCTGTATAATCACTGTCTGGCTGTGGATTTTCCATCTTTGTATGGTACAGTCGTCACCATCAGCCATTCCTAAACCATAATCAGAACAAAACTGCCCCCACTCACAAGTTTTATCTACTTTGTCTTTTGTGATTATGTCTGGGTTTTCATGTTGTTCGCAGCCCATTCATCACTTCATTACCCGTTAGGGGCTGTCACAACAACTGTTGGCAGAAGCACAACCCTGCAGCCGCCAGAAAAGCACAGATTTTAAGCTCCAATTTGCATGCCTGTGAGCAAGCCCCTGTAACCAATATTTTCTCTTTGTGAGGAGTGGGAAGGCAAACTATATTGCCCTTTGGTGGCAAAACACATACTCCAATCTGATCTAACTCACAGCTCTAGCCCTTCTTAACCTATGAACCTGCTTCGGAACCCAAGATGAGTGGATGCTCCCTGCAAAGTGGACTGTCAACATAACTGTTGGAATGATTCCTCCACTTCTCAGGAGGCGACCTGCAGATATTTATTTGCCTATTTTTTTAGGGAAACCTTGAATTTGATTCAAAACATGTTTTTGAATCATTCCCTTGACTGCTATAGCTCATGCCAACATTATTTGGACAAATGCATATCAAATCCCAGGTCACACATGTGTTCAAGCATATGTCCATGTACCAGGATTTGAATATCTAACAAACTCTGACCAGTTCTGACCTTTGAGGAGATTACCTTCACAACGGAAAAGGAAGACGGGATTACAGAGGAAAGAAAGTAAAAACATAATTATATTTTACACATTCAGCATATTTTGCTTATTGTGTCAGCTGCATGTTTAATGTCTTTTTTGTAATAGATAAAAGCATGTAGCAGGGCCCTCATGAGTGTAATAAGAATAATTCAAGACAAAAGACTGTTCATTCAACACCTGAGGGACCAATATTGCTGCATCACTTCCGTGTACAATATTATTGCATTTTATGCCATTGCCAAACAAGCTCTAATATTGCTTTTTTGATATGACTAGACCCTGGTCTCATCAGTTCAGTGCAGATGCGTCCAAGTGCTGGATTCTTTAATAACATCCTGTCAATCTGAAAAGCGAGCACCACATTGCAGGGATACTCATAACACAGAAGAGATGCAGGGGTAAATCCAGCAATATCTCCTTAGAGTTCACAGACCTTCTCACAAACAGACTCCCACACAAATTCAAATGTGTTGCATGTCCAAGACTGAGAGCACTAGAAGCTCTGTGCACAAACAAAAAGGCCCATAAAAGACATACTCGTACAAATGAGCGGACAGTGCTCCAATTCATCAGCGAGGAGCAAGGAAAGGAGAGTTACTCCAATAGTTTCCTGAGAGCAGATCAATGGCAATATCACATATTTTTTGCAAATCTAATCAGCACTGAGAATTCAAGTCAAATAATCCAAACGAGCATCTGAAAACCCTGTTGTCAGTCCCAGCAGTCTCATACCATGAGATTTTCAGACTGGAAGGCTGAATCAGTGCAAATTGGGGACCAGAGGGCTAGATCTTCTGCCATCTGGCCACGCCTGGCCATCTACCATCATGACCCTGAGTGGCTCTATTAGATTTATTGAGGAAATGTGCCCCACTTCCCCAAGCTTGGGATTTGATAAATGTGACTCAAGTCCTATCCAAGATTATAATGGGGATAATGCAAAAGAGCACCTTCTGTTTAAGAGATACTGCACACACTTGTCTCACAGTCGATGTTATCTGGATGGTGGCTGCTTATCATACTGATGAAATGCACTTAAGCTGTGATGGATATTTTAAAGAAAAAGAGAAAAAAACCAAGCACACATGTGTTGTGCTTGATTTAACACAGGTAAGGAAATTGTTATAAATCTTGATCACTGTGGAATTGTGCTGAAAACTTTCAAAATCCTGACTGCTATATTTAGAAATTAAGGCCACAGGACGTTTTTACAAGCTTTTCCATTAGATCTTTGAATGAAGACATTTTGGCCTTTGCACAATACAACTGAGCTAGTCTAACATACATTCCCCAATCGTGTGCAAGCTGTGCTCTGTGTGGGTGAAAAAACATGTGTCAGAATGTAATTAAAAATCAGTTACTCCTCAGGAACAGTGGCACAAAAAATGATGCGCACAATTTATATGTGTACCTCTGAGCTCTTACCACCTTTTCGCAAGAAAGCCGCCTCAGATGAGAGAGGGTTGGCTCAGGATAACCACATGAATAGGCTTGATTCCAAGGATTGTTTACAACGAAACCTCCTCTAAATGTTTGAAATACATTATTTAGAGCTATTTCTTTTTTTTATACAGGAGTATAAAAAAAGGAGTCATACAGGAGTCATGACTAACCATGACCTTCCTTTGGTCTGTTCAGACAAGATTTATTCTTGTCTGTTCTTGGAGAAATATCATATTTGAGCCATTCAAATAGGCTGTGAAAGTTACGAAGTCAGAGACTCATTGTAAACGCACCATTTGAGGGTATCAGTTATTCTGAATGATCATAAATTAGCTAGGAACAGAAACAACCAATGTGTTTTGAACTACAATTCTATGATGTTCAAGAGTGGTGGCATTTGGATAAAAGATTCTAAAACATTTTCCATTCAGTCCCCCAGTAAAATCTCTGGAACATCAGTGGGTGAAACAATGCACAAACATGTCAGAAAATACATAAAAGCGCCCTTTCCGAAGGAACTGACCGGCTGAACAGTATTATGCTTTCTGATCACTCCCCTCAATTGTGGACACATGAAAATACTTGTAAAACCAGAATCACTACCAAAAGCAGCATCACCTGCTATTTACAATGGGTTATCAAGAAAACATCCTTATTTCAACATCACATGCCACCTCCTGTGTGCTCCCGGCAAACCTTTCCCCAACATCCCCCTCTGGATCAAATTGTCTGCACCTTCTTCCGAATATCTCCTGTGTTTAACAATTTATGTAGAAGTTTTTGTGAGTTCTGTGACAGCTACATGAATCTATAGCTCAAAACCGAGCACATTTTTCTTAACTACGGCATCTCAAAAATGGACTGACTGCACTCTCGCAGTGAGTGGTTTTGGGGCTTAACTAAATCTGGCCCGTTTCTTTGAAAAGAGAATAGTCTTACAATAGATCTAGGAGGCTGCCAAAATCTAAATGTGCTTCCTTTAACGTCTTAAAACGGAAGCCATAGCTTTACATCTGATGATTGTCTTGTTTGATGTGACTTATGTTCCCTTGTACAGAAAGCAATTAATTGGATGTCACTCCTGAAAAAAAACAAAAAAACATCCAAAAATTGTTGTAGCCCAGAGGCTAAGAGGTAAAGAGAGGAGGAGGAGGAAGGAAATTCTGCAACCTTCTTAAGACAGCAGCTTCAGTACCAGTGTACATCACTTGTAAAATTACTCCAAAGCCAGTTTTTATCTGGAATAACAGAATTACTTGCATACTTACATATATTTGCAGTTCCTTTGGGTATCGGGAGGTAAGAGCCCACACTCCAGGCTCTTCCGTGGTAGTGCCTCTTACAGCGGCTGCAGTCTGGCCCTGTGGTGTTGTGCTCACACTCACAGCCCAGCTTCCCCTTGTCGAACACACAGCTGTTGGCATGCAGATTGCATTTGCACCTGAGACAGAGGGCCAGAAACAAAAGAAACAGGCATGAATAGGCATCATTCCACATCCGTTGAATCAATCTTTTCTAAAGGGAATTTACACACTCTACCCTTTTGGCGATGTTTACTTGCGTCTTTCAAATTTTGTGACAGAAACAATTTGAAATCCTGGTGGGTTATCTGACTTAGATCATGAAACCTCAAAGCTTCATTATGCCCGTCTTTAAAAAAACACAAGGCCTCATTTGTTGCTGCCCCTGTGGAGAGGACAGTGATGCGAATAAGGTCATTTTTGCCTCTCTGAGAGCGAAATAAAAGGCGGTCTGTGAGAGTCACTAATTGAGCACAAAACAGGGTCTGATAGAGAGATGATAGAGTAAACAGAATCTGCGTACTGTGGGAATTCTCTTTGTTTCCTTTTCTTCAAAGTTATTTTTGTTTGGCAAGGGAGCCGTCAGACAGGAAACCCTGTTGCCAGAGCGTTATTTGACCAAACCACAGCAGAACTGGCAGATGCTCCTGACAGAAGAAAGACTGGTGGCTTTCAACGCTTTCAGCAAATGAACCCCACCCCGTTTTGACCACATTCAGCAAGAAAGATTTCACTATTAGTTTTTGTACCTCTTAAAACCTAATTGAGTCAAGTGTAGCATGTAGTGGAAATATAACATTTTTTTCCATTACAATGCACACTTACTCTAAGGGAAAACCTCTATCAAAGCCATAGCAGGCTTGTTATCACATGAGATATTACAGTTTCATATTCCAGCCATATTCCAAATATAACTCTCATTATTTGATTTGAGTCCCAACAGGGTAAAAGGTTACAAATGATGACCTCAGTTTCTTGCAAGGTAGGTAGCAATTGATACCAAAACAGCTGGAAGGAGGCCATCAAGTGGATCTGACACTGTAGATCTCCCTGGAGGTTTAGGCGGCTCATGGTTTCACATCATGCCTATGTTTGTTTTTACAAAGTGCTTCCGAGAGAAGATTTCTCCCATTTGAGACCAGTGAGCTTGGTATCTGTTGCCTACAACTGTGAGTGAACATGAGACAGAGAAATGACAGCAGCAGTCAGAAATACATTCATTCTAATTGACTTCCTGGCCTTACTGTGACATCTCACATTAATGATGGATAACTGCGAGAATAAAGGGAAACTGTATCTATCTATTTTTCTGACAAGCAGCAGAATGTTGTGTCTTTTATGCACACACACACACACACACACACATACATATATATATATATATATATATATATATATATAGGGAATAGGCGGTTTCAAAATGGATGAATGGATTTCAGTGATCTCAACTGACACCAACAAACAGCAAAAAATATAGATTGCAATCAAGTCCGTGTTCCCAAATTTTACCTTTATAATTAATGTGTAAGTGCTATCCTATAATATCAACAGGCATAATGGACAGCACCGCACAGTGCCCCTTCTTCACATTAACTAAATACTACTGCCTCTTACCCCAAATTCCCTATAGTCTTTTACTTTTTAATCAATTAAAGTCCCTGCTCCATAAAATTAATGACTGGGTGTAGTGTCTCTGCCATGCAGAAAGCAGCAGCTCCCTGAAGTCACCAGCAATGAGATTTGACCTTCCACTTAATTAAAAACCAGCAAAATCTGGATCATCACGCCCATCCGGCACGGCTAGCAGGCTGATAAAGTAGAGGATGTGGACTCAGGGGAACTCTGGAGTGCGATGCTTTTGCCGCTGGCATTGTCATAATAAAAACTGGGAACTTTTCCGTAACTGCTTTTGGTCACAAGAGGGGAAAGATCCCCTGTATGTCCAGCTTTTTAAACCTGCAACATTACAAAGACACATTTGATAAAGTTTCCAAGACCTTTTTTTGTGTATGAGCCAAAAGCATTTGGGATTATCATCTAAACAAGCAGCATGCCTTTGAGACACTATGGTTCAGCCATTCTCTACATCTTTCTATGATATTGAACTCCTTAATATAGGGGTGAGAAATGTGCCAGGTGGGTTTATGATCTGTCATTGTATGCAAGGCAAGACTTAATTGGTGTTACTATCAAGGGGAAATATTTTTAAAGGGGGAATAAAACAGAGTTAAAGCAATAAGAGGAAAAAGGTAAAAAGTGTCCACAGAACCAGCAACAGGATGAATCAATTAATAAATTCCTGATTAAATATATAAACGTTGAAGGACAGAACGGAAGTAATCATCTGATAAACTTTAGCATAAAAAAAGTAAATCTCTCCAGCAAAGCACATAGAAAAGTCACACACAAGACATAAAAGGATAAACAACTGCACACAAGGGCTGTGAGGTGACAGTACTAACCACCACACCACCGTGCCGCCCTAAAATGCTCATTATTATCTTTACTTGAATTGACCAAAATGTGCCCTGCACTTCAATAGTAGCTGATCAAGTTGATCCTAAACCGGATTACAAACGGATTCATGCATCTCTATCAGATATCCTTAATAGGCACATTGAATACAAAGTAGCATTGAGAACCTGTGCCTGATTTATGCTGCGTCTGTATGGTAATGCCTTCCTTTGGTCTTAACCTTGAAAGTCAATGCTCTGGCTATAAACAACTAAACCAAAATAAAAGAGAACGCAATAGTGAGATTTGTGTCTACTTTGTGCAGACGTTCTGGAGGAGACAGCAGCAGCACTGCCCTCTGTTCTCTCCTCTGGCTGATTTCTAACCTTGGAGTCTCCCAGCTGCTTGACACGGTGTCGACAGACTTATTGTGTCTAACACGGCTTTCTTCCTTGTGACAGCTCCAAGCCTCACTGATTCCCCAATACAGAAAGAAGTTCCTTGTGGAAACCTTGTAGTTCAACTTTCTTGTAGACTTCAAGAAGGATTCCACAAATGCATGTTTTCAATAACATTTAGCCCTGTATTATGTGTAAACTTTGTATGTTACTAGTCAAAGAATAACCTTTTATGAATAAACCTCTTTTCCTGCAAATTGTAATAGCAAGGTTTGCACAAATCCTTGAGGCATCTGTGGTTGATGAAAGCGTGTCTGGACAACAATTTGTTACATTACCATGAAATGACCTACCTTGAAACTCAGTTCAAAGCATTATAAAAGATTCTGTTGTGAGATATTTTAACACCATAACAGTGACCAAATTGTAATGTAAAAGACGTTATCCAAGAACTGTGTCAAAATAAGGATATTTCTTTATCTTAGCCAGTTTCTCAATCTGTAAACCAACAAAAATCCAATTGCTGTATTTTCTTGTTTTTACATGTAGGTACAACTTTCAAGAAAGTGTGAAGATTCATAGACTGATGTTGCATTCTATGGCAGCTGGGAATTCTTAAAATATGCACCATCCAACAAAAAACATTCCAAGACCTCCAAGAATTTTTCAAGGAGTAACCTTTATCCCTTAGCTTCAACAATTCATTTTCCAAAAAGGAAACCTGAAGTGTAACCTTTGCTTAAATAGCCTTTCTTTATGTCAGATACACAATGATTTCCAGTTCTGCTTCAAACACATCAAGACTTCAATATACAACTGTTAATAGTATTAATTTACTTTCACATTCTGTGTCCTCATTTTTTGTATTTTGAATAAGAGACTTGACTTTACATATCCGTTAAATGCACACACAGAAACAACTGTTAGAAGAACTAAATTTAAAACAAATCTTTTCTCAATTTGTGCTTTGCATGCAACCAAATGATTTGATAACCTCTGAATTGCCATACAGCCCAACTTTAAGTAGAAGTTTTTTTAAGATTTTCTTTTTTCTTTTTAACTCTCTATTGTTTTTAAACCCTATTCATTTCAAAATTGCACAATGGCAAAAACAGGTTGTAGAGCTGCACTTACTGGTTGCTGAACTCCAATGAGCTTGTTTGTGTTGGATGACGTGCATGGCTGCTCACAGTAAGACTGAATACATTTTCATCTACCTGTTCCATTTGCATGTTTTTGCATTGATTTGTGTTTTACATATTTGTGAGTAAATCCTCTCTATGTGCAAAGGGAGAAATATTGTAATAAACAGTACTTCACTTAAGCTTTATTCCAATAAGTGCACAGATAAAGTGACTTGAATAGTTACACAAAACATGTTTTCCCTTTTTTAAGCTCTGACTTTTGGTCACCAATTTCAGTTAAACTTTATGACAGTTATTTGGCAACTTGTTTCCAGAGCTAAAACATTTGGAATTTTATAATGGGTATTCTCATTTGCACTATACTTTGGTATAAGATTAAATTTTCTTCTATTTATCTAAGAAAGCCATTCAAGAGTAGATATCCAGGAACTTGTAACTTCTTTGCAGGTCCGAGTTTGGAAACTTAATTTATTTTTCCCACATCAGCTGACTTATGGGATTTTGAAATCTCGTATTATTTTGTGAAAATGCAAACATATTACATGAAACTGGTCTGTGTTAGTCTTTTTTGGGAAATGATACGGTAATCTCCCAAATTGTTTCCACCTGTGGGAGGGTCTCAATTTCTTGTCCAGGGCCATAAACAGAGGATGGCAACAAATTGAGTCCCTGTCTTTTATTTCTCACGACTATTAAAATAAAGCAACAGATGATAAAAAAGTACTATATTCATATTTAGGTGGAGAAAAAAACATTCTCTACTGAAAATACTTTGTCCAAAACCTGCAAACATCTAAGCTGTCAGTGTCATTTAAAAAAAGAAGAAAAGGAAAAGTATTTTTTTCTTTAGAGATTCAGCCCATGGCCATATCTCTGACTGATAAGACTGTGCAAACCAGCCTCCCTCAGCTCTATATCTCACCTGTTCCCTCACACGAGTCACCCATGGTCGGAGCTTGTAATGTGCCTCCATGCTGTATAAATACATACCGAGGTTTCTTGAAACTTTCCTCAACAAGACACTCCGAAAGGCTCAGATATCCTGACCAGAGATTGCAATGAAAGATACGGGAGATCAAGGCTGTTGAGGAAAACTTTGACCCTGCTGAATTTTTTTTCATATCAGTGTGATACCTGAAAAAA